TTGAAGAACTTGTAGCAATCCGCCACAATTTAATTCTTCGTATTGTTATCTGACACTGGGCAGCTTGGAATGGTCTATTCTTTCATTGGGGTGTGTGTCTATGAGCCAGACTAGTTTCGGAGAATTCCACTCCTCATCAGTGACTCATAGACACACACCCCAATGAAAGAATAGACCATTCCAAGCTTTAACTTGTTGTTAAACAAATGTTTAAACAACTCTACTTATTCAATTAAGCTGTTAATTATTTGTTCATGAATTTGAACTCGTAATAAGCAAAATCCCCAAATTAGCAACACGTGGAAAACGTGCAAATAGCTCTAAAATGGTGATAAGTTAAATTTAGTGTCCTTTCATAATCAGAATAAATAATGAAAGCATTTCTTCTTTCGATCATCTACATTTTGTAGATTTCGCCATATTGTTGTTGCAAAAGGACTTTGTTCTTACAAATAAGAGTGTATCATGACAGACCAGTGTTGCAAAACGATATTCACTCAAAGTTGTGGAGAACACGGCATAAAAGTCGCTCAAAGTTAATTTTATTAAATGAAGAGAACTAAACGTTGATGATCTGAAAAAGAATGTAACAAAAAAAAGTAACAGTACCATGAATATGAAAATGAAAAAGAGGAAAAGCAGTTACGGGGGAGAGGGATAATAACTGGTTACACAATGACGAAGACAGTGGTGTAATATTGTGTAAAGTATGTCGAGAAGAAAATGTGAATATGAAAATGCTATTAGTGGTCTACTAGCATGAACAGCCCGTAATTTTTCTGTGCCAAATTGAAGATCTGTTGCTATAGCAATTAATACACCCTTCCTTTACAGACCACTAATAATTTCAGAATACCACCTCATGATTGGTCAATCATAGCTGGGTAACTAGCCCTACTCGTCAGGCAAGTATTTAACTTAATTTAAATTGGGCTTTAGCAAAAAATTCATGGAACTTGCATTATTTTGGAGTTTTTAATGAAGACATGCATGTCTCTTAAAATATAAACCAAAAAGTACACTTGTATCAGAATTTTTCATCACCGAAACACCAATACTCTGTCGCGACAGCGAGGTCACATGACTAGTGTGACTCCACGTTTCTAGAACTATCCCGTACCTTGGCGAACGATTTAGTATTTACTAGATATAGGGTAGACTGGTATATAAAAGAGGGTGACAACGTGACGAGAGGATAATATAAAGTGTGTGTAGATAGTGAGTAATTGAATTGCAGTCACAGGGTATTGTTGAAGTTAACGTTCGTTCGTTATAGTGTTTGTTTTAGCGCGAATATTGAAATTAAGTGTATCGTAGGGTTGTATTCGGAAAGAATAAACCAGTTTTATTAAGTAAGGACTTGTGTCGCTAAAGTTTTGTCGGAACGAAGTTACGGAAAGTTAATTAACAAACAGAGACGTAACAATATTTAACTTGCTCGTGCATTTAGAGAAATATAACATCTAGTCAAGAAAATGTGCATTTTAATAAAGTTTAGTTTAATAGTGATTGTACCTGCTGCATATCAACGAGTTGATCGTCTCCATTAAATAAACACAGTGATAATTTTCAAAATTTTAATTTAAAAAAATATGCCATTTTGAAAACACAAATGATTAAATATTGTTTTCCTTTCATTTTGTTAACTGATAGCTATATTCAATTGTTCATGTGCCTTTTTCAGTATGGTCTTATCCACAGTTAAATTAACTACATTTCTCAGTAAACTTATTTCCACAATTATTCAAACGAAATTATTTGTATCTATATAATTATGTGTTCATATTGTGGCAACATCATTTTATTGTGCTTATTCTTACGTTAATTACTCATTATACTTTTCCAACCTAAGGGGGCGCTACTCTGAGGTTTTTACACCAACGGTTTGCTATAAGTATAAATTAAATGTAATGATTGTTGAAACTTTATAAATTTCAGTATATTCTAATCATTTATTGTTAACCAACCAGACTTTATCAAAGTAATTATAGAGCAATTTTTCGGTAATTATCATATTGGTAAGCAGGAAAGAGTTGTTAACTCTGCAAAGTCCGTTAGCGTAACAAAAATAAAGCCTATGTACGAAGCAGCATCTCGCCCCTGTGAAAATCACAAAGTTAAAAAAATAATAAATTACTTTACCTATAAAAAGGTGTGTATATAACTTATATTTAACTTGTACATTTTGCATTTTTAAATGATGCCTGATTGCCCAAAGGAGCATTAGGGCCTACACTAGTATATAGACTTAACAATAACATTAACATGCTCTTCTTAGTTCTTTAGTTTAGTTTGTAATTAAGCACAAAGCTACACAATGGGCTATCTGTGCTCTGCCCACCACGAGAATCGAAACCCGGATTCTAGCGTTGTAAGTCCGCAAACATACCACTGTGCCACTGGGGAGCTTTAGTTTAGAAAAGTTGCTCACAAGTTAAATGCTAACTGAAAAAAAATCAAATTTTAGACCTAATCCACATCTTGAATAGAGATGCAAAGTTCTATGCCGATTGCCTATTCGTTTGTAAAAATGTCTACATTGAGGGGAGAGTAATCTATTGCTGATTTGAATAGGTTTTTTAAATATTATTTCATATTTTTGCATGTGAGGATATGAGAGGGTTGTTGTACTGTCTACACACAGAAACAATGCATAAGTAAGGCTAAGCCATAAAAGTAGTTTTAGCCAAACCTCTGCTTTGTACAATGTGTTTGTGCACTTAACATCTTAAGTTACAGTGATGGAAATGTGCTTTCCTGAGTTTTAACCACCTAAGAAATCTTATTATACAAGTAGAGAATACGGGGCTGCCAACTTTTAGGAATCTCTTTGTGCGAGATGTTTGAAAAAGTAAAATTATAGCATGTGATAAAGTGCTGTGAGTGCCAAAGGTGGTTGCCTTGATTCAATATGATGATGAATTTCACGGAGAGCCAAGCTGGTCAACCAACCAGTATGGGAGTTTTTTTACTAATGCGTGTGTGCATAAAAAAAGGCCTAGTATCATGAATCTCCCGCTCAATGGGTGAGCATTGGTAACTCAGAGAATGCATCAAAAAAGCTTTAAATAGTTTTAGCTCCAGACTTCTTTCCTTCATACCCTGTGTTCTTACAGTAACAGACTTTTGCTTTTCTGAGCTTTGGCCATCTCAGAAGTCTCAGGAATAACATTATATAAATTAAGTGAGTATACATTAAATCCTACAGTCACATACATTACAGTTACAAGCTTTATCCCATACGTTATACTTAAAAGTTTACCCTAACATGTGTGTGAGGTGAAGCAGTATTTAAGGAATTCAAAATGGGGGTTTGTGCATCCTGCTGGTACTAGTCCACGTACATGTGTACTAAATGGAAAGAAATGACATCCTGATTGCATCATTCTGTACCATGTCATTACTTAACACATCATATCAGTTGCTTGGTAGACATGTTGAATATAAAATGCTTTTTTGTATTATCTAGATCAGGATTTCACTCCTTATACTAATTGTTGTACTTGATGATGCCCAGTTAACCTGGTGAAATGTTGTGATCATAAATATTATTATGTGTATATCCCATAATATACAAGTTTTACATAACAGGGTTCTTCCGTTAATATTTTTTAAACCCAAATCCTGTTTGCCTTATCATCAGTAGCTAATGACCAGATCTTTATCCTAGTCGACTTGTATTTGCAGCAAGGAGGTAAAAAATAACTAAGGTTGTGATAACCAGTATGCATGATATTACATTTGTTATGACTAATAACACCTGCCAGGTATGAACTCAGTCTCTAAATAGTCCAAAACTACAGCACCTTCAGTTCAGGTTGAAGTTAAATTTATATCATTTGCAAACTTAACCAGTTTATTATTTATTCCATTATGATTATTTTTAATGAGATGCAGCAAAGGACAAAAACCTGAGATTCACGATGATAATTCACCGTGACTTCACCCCACCCCCCGAACAAGCTCATGAACAATCTTCCAAAGAAGTCTATGTGGCATCTCCTTAAATCCAAGTACATCAAACTTACAGAATTACTGAAATTCAGTCATTTATAATTTGCACTAATATCTGAAGTCAGTGCTGATGTGGAGTGTTTAAAATATCGGTGATGAGAGTTAAGGAATCAAAGATGAAGCTGCAGTTTTGTTGACTTTCATTAATTTCAAATAGTTTTACATTAGCTATACACATTAATCAGTTACAAAAATAAATATTTTTCCTATGTTAAATTTATTTGTCTTTTTGTTGTTAAAGAACATGATCAAGTTACTTCAGTGGCTTCTTGGACTGGGCCTTTTCATGGCAGCATGGGCCATTTTACTCTCTGGAAGGTTTCTTGTTAAAATACCAGAAGAACAAATGCTTCATGTATGGTTGGTAAGTGCCTTTCACTTCGTTATACTGATCTCCATACTGCACGTTTATTGTAGATGTTTAAGGTCAACACTACACCTGTAATTATTGTTTTTTATACATATTGCATTAGGTCATATGCTAAATATATACGTATTGATCTCACAAAAGTTAGCAATGAAATATAAAATTCTGTTGTTATACTTTTATAAGTATGAATAATACTTAGCATTTTTTACAACATGTTATTTAATAGTGCACGTGTTCTTTTAAATCCTAGACCATTTAATACGTGTGACAAATAAGTTGTAAGCATTCTGTAGTTTTGAGTGCAAATACCAAGTGCATTTCTCACAAATGGAATCCAATATGTGCCATCAATTCTTGTTGGAGCCCAACACATTATGTATTGCTTCTTTTACAATAGATGGCTTGAAAGTCAGGTTGCATGGTCTTCAGGAGAGCTGTAACACCTCCATTCTGCACTAACATCACAGACACTCCATCTTAGCCAAGAAATCCATTCCTATCTGTAATTGTTTCTGTAACATGTACAATGTTCTATGCAGTAGGCCTTGGTACTTTCTGTTGCCTTAGTAGTCTTACAGTGACTTGTCCTTTAACCTTAGAATGTCAGTGTGGGGGTCACTATAAACCCATATTATCTGGTGTTGATATTTGAAAATTTAATGTTGGCATTCTCGGGTTAAGACAGCTCCTCGAGTAACATCATCGAAATGGTGATGATGATAGTATCTGTATAGACTACACGCTATAGTGTTAATATATTTGCAGACTGCATGCTATAGTGGCATCTATTGTTCCTGTATCAATCTCTTGAGAAGGGATCATACCCTGGTTGATACTGAGCAGTTAACACAGCCAGTTGTCAGTTGTAATATTCTTGTATCAAGCTCATGAGAAGGGATAAAACCCTGGTAGATACTGACCTGTTAACACAGCCAGATGTCAGTTGTAATATTCTTGTATCAAGCTCATGAGAAGGGATAAAACCCTGATAGATACTGACCTGTTAACACGTAATGTTCTTGTATCAAGCTCATTAGAAGGAGCATTTCTTGTTCATATGAACACAAGAAACTAGTTAAGAAATTCAGTTTTGAAATAGAATAATCTGTAGAGCTTTCAAGTTTTCTGGAATTACCATTATTTTTGCAATTGTCATATTTAGTTGCCTTATTATTTTATGATTTGTTCTTAAATTGATTTGTTTGATCTAGTTATTTATACAACTTAAACTTTTCCAGGTTCCTGTGTACACTTTGGGCACTTTTGGGGTAAGTGAATGTACATAAATAAAAAAAATGTGTGTGTTTTTAAAGTAGTTTTTATCGTTTCTGATTATAGCTTGGTACATTTTTCCATGGGTTGTATTTTGCTCTCACACTAATAGTGTGTAATCCACTATAATGGGTTGTATTTTGCTCTCACACTAATAGTGTGTAATTCACTATAATGGGTTGTATTTTGCTCTCACACTAATAGTTTGTAATCCACTATAATGGGTTGTATTTTGCTCTCACACTAATAGTGTGTAATCCACTATAATGGGTTGTATTTTGCTCTCACACTAATAGTGTGTAATCCACTATAATGGGTTGTATTTTGTTCTCACACTAATAGTGCGTAATTCACTATAATGGGTTGTATTTTGCTCTCACACTAATAGTGTGTAATCCACTATAATGGGTTGTATTTTGCCTCTCACACTAATAGTGCGTAATTCACTATAATGGGTTGTATTTTGCTCTCACACTAAGTGTGTAATCCACTATAAAAATATTGAGGTAAAGTTAAAGTATTTGACTCAGATTATTCCACAAATATCACTCATTATGTTGCACGGTGTAAAAAAAGCAACTTTAGTGCATTATGAACACTTCAACTGTTGTTTTTTTTTCACTAATAATTTAATAGAATATGTAAGCATTAATTATCAGTATACTTTAGCACATTAAACTAAGACTGTAAAACCAATTGTAAAGTTAACATACACTGTACATGTACCTAACATTAGATGTGATGATAAAAGACCTGTATAAAATTATTGTACGATTTCCTGCAATCAGTGTTCCCTCTTAGTTATTAAATATCATTCTCTTCCTTGTATTTGAACTTTTATCTCATTCATAATTTGGAGGTTTTTGTTTTTAATGTTTCATCCTTTGCTCACCATTAATAACCTAGAACACTTCACATGTCTCCATTATTATAAGTGTAGCACCTGAATAGTTTTGTTTTTTTTACCACAACTTGTAACATTTTAAATATATTTTTGTGAATCTCTGCTTTTCTTTACCACATATTTGTATTTTCTACAATATTATATCACATCTAATTGTTTTTGCAGCTAGCGTGTCTCTCCATTATAATGTATCGAGTGTATAATTTTAACAACTGTGAAGCAGCTGCAGAGGAACTTAAAATGGTAAGTTTCTATAAATTTTGTATAATTATTTATAACATTATTGTAGGGTCCCTTCATCTTCTGAAGAAAGACTTTCATCTGTATTCCTATCAATATCTCATTATATTTGGTGTAAACGTGTGATTTAGTTCAGACACGATACAGAAGTTGTCCTTACACAAGATTCTTGTTACAATTTTTCATTACCTACCACAGACTGATTATGATAATTGTGCTTGTGTATCTCTCTATAATAACTAAAATAAGATGGTTTTAATATCTTCATATTCTGACCACTAATAGTTGAACATTTTCATGTGATTGCCTGGTTTTATTTTTGATATGTTTTAGTTTGAGTGCTTTTCTGTGTGACCGATGTTAGATAGATTCTTGTATTGAAATTACAGCTGTAAATTACACAATGCCAAACACATGAAATTATATAAAATATTTGATAAAAACAGTTAACACTCACAATCTCAATAGATCATTTAGAACCATGATTATATAATTATTTCATCCTCACTTCTTGTGTTGTCTAAAAACAACTAAATATTATTTATAAAAGTTGGTACCATTTATGGTAGTTGGGTACACGAGTGTCTCACTGGTGACTTTTAATACACCGGGTTTGGGAAATATTTTACAAGCAGTAGATAAAATCTTGATTCCCACGAAGGATACACCGGAGTTCTCCCAGAGCTTCTTCACGAGGCAAGGACCAAATAGAAATCTGATGATAATGCACTGTGGTGTCCTACCATCTTGGATCTCACTTCACATTGCTTATACCTTGTATACATACTTCCTCCCCACTAACATAAATTTATGTACCACCTTTTGGCTCAAGTACAATCTGTGCCCCAGGGGGACAATTTTACAGTAACAGGGTCAAGCAAGTATAAGCTTTTACAAGATGATCATCATAGTACATCATCTTTATCTGAGATAGATACATCGCTCAAGATTATAACCTTTCAAATCTTATATTGGAGAATGTCTATATAAAAATTCTCCTGGTATACTTTAATAAAGATGTACTGTTGTTATTGAAGTATGGTATACTTTAATAAAGATGTACTGTTGTTATTGAAGTATGGTATACTTTAATAAAAATATACTCTGTTATGGAAGTATGGTATACTTGAATAAAGATATACTCTCTTCTTGTTATTGAAGTATGGTATACTTGAATAAAGATGTACTCTGTTATTATTGAAGTATGCTATACTTGGATAAAGATATACTCTGTTGTTATTGAAGTATGGTATACTTGAATAAAGATATACTCTGTTATTGAAGTATGGTATATTTGAATAAAGATATACTCTGTTGTTATGGAAGTATGGTATAGTTGAATAAAGATGTACTCTGTTGTTATGGAAGTATGGTATAGTTGAATAAAGATGTACTCTGTTGTTATGGAAGTATAGTATACTTGAATAAAGATATACTCTGTTGTTATGGAAGTATGGTATACTTGAATAAAGATGTACTCTGTTGTTATGGAAGTATGGTATACTTGAATAGAGATATACTCTGTTGTTATGGAAGTATGGTATACTTGAATAAAGATGTACTTTGTTGTTATTGAAGTATGGTATACTTGAATAAAGATGTACTTTGTTGTTATTGAAGTATGGTATACTTGAATAAAGATATACTCTGTTATTGAAATATGGTATATTTGAATAAAGATATACTCTGTTGTTATGGAAGTATGGTATACTTGAATAGAGATATATACTCTGTTGTTATGGAAGTATGGTATACTTGAATAAAGATGTACTCTGTTATTGAAGTATGGTATAGTTGAATAAAGATGTACTCTGTTGTTATGGAAGTATGGTATACTTGAATAAAGATATATACTCTGTTGTTATTGAAGTATGATATACTTGAATAAAGATATATACTCTGTTGTTATGGAAGTATGGTATACTTGAATAAAGATATATACTCTGTTGTTATGGAAGTATGGTATACTTGAATAAAGATATATACTCTGTTGTTATGGAAGTATGGTGTACTCTGTTGTTATTGAAGTATGGTATACTTGAATAAAGATATACTCTGTTTTTATGGAAGTATGGTATACTTGAATAAAGATATACTCTATCTTTATTCAAGTATACCATACTTCAATAACAACAGAGTATATCTCTATTCAAGTATACCATACTTCAATAATAACATATACTCTGTTGTTATTGAAGTATGGTATACTTGAATAAAGATATACTCTGTTGTTATTGAAGTATGGTATACTTGAATAAAGATATACTCTGTTATGGAAGTATGAAATATAACAGTTTTTTAACTTAAATAAATTTTCCTCTTCCTGGGACTAACCGTAAACATTAAAGGTTGGATTATTATATTTCACTAATGTAAAGCAATGTTTCTCTCATGCCTTTTTTTCTTTTCACATGTTGCCTATCTAACATGCAAAGTAATTTTCATTTTAAGATTAAAAATACTTTTATTTATCAGAAAATTTTCAAATTTTTACAAGTGAAATCTTTATAATGTCCTGATAGTTATCAAACGTATCTTAATAGAAAACTTTATATTTTATCTGTTATTTTCAGTAATTAATCTGTGTATGGGTTCAGTAGATTTGACCGATCTTGTAACCACTGTAAAAAAATTAGAAAATAAATATAAATTATGCCTCTCTCATTCTAGAATGAACACATAAACGTTTAGACTAAATAACTTAAATGTCATAACATTATACATTTATGTATATTTATTATATTGACTTTTCAATCATGTTACCATATCAAATAACATAAAATTGACCTTTAGTCTGTACAAAGTAACCTGTCTTGGCTGTGTTTTAGTAGACTAGTATTTTGTAAAATACAGTCACATTTCAATTATTATACGTTATATATGTATATAGATTATTGCTATTTTGAAATAAGTTCTTATAAAGTTATTGTTCCTAAAACATAGAACAGTAACTAAAGAAGTAAAGCAAACAAATATCTCTTCTAGTTATGATCTTTGTACTCGGTAGCTGCTTGACATAAGCTGCTAAGCCTTTAAAAAAATTGCACATGGAGGATATGAAAGAAAATAATTTAAGGTTTTATATATACAGTTGAATAACTAAAAATCATAAATTATCACATTAATACCATAGAAAAGTTATGTCAATAAATTTGATATCAAACTGTAGATAATAATTCAAGTTTTAGTACTATACATTACTCCATTTGTCAATTTAAAAGTAAATAATAAAAAAAATACAGATAAACATCTATTTTTGTGTGTCACGTGGTATGTTGAATGCAGCACTGCTTCAAATTAGATGTTTATGATGTCAAAATACTAAGTCTGTAGTTTTTATGATTTTTAGTTATTCAACTGTATATATATATATATATATAAAACCCCAAAAAAATTATTTTGTTTCATATCTTTCACGTACAATTTTTTAAAAGACTTAACAACCTACGTCAAGCAGCAACTGAGTACAAAGGTCATAACTAGAAGAGATAATTGTTTGTTTTACTTCATTAGTTACTGTTCTATGTTTTAGGAACAATAACTTTAAGAACTTATTTCAAAATAGCAATAATCTATATACATATATAATGTATAATAATTGAAATGTGACTGTATTTTACAAAATACTAGTCTACTAAAACTCAGCCAAGACAGGTTACTTTGTAAAGACCAAAGGTCAGTTTTATGTTATTTGACACGGTAACATGATTGCACGTGAGCCGTGTCATTGTAAATTCTGTATTGTTAGCCAAGCACAGGTGAAAGGTCAATATAATAAAAATAATAAATATATATAAATGTATAATGTTATGACATTTAAGTTATTTAGTCTAAACATTTATGTTTTCATGTTATAATTTGTGTTCATTCTAGAATGAAAGAGGCATAATTGATATTTATTTTCTAATTTTTTATGGTGGTTGTGAGATTGGTCAAATCTACCGAACCCATACACAGATTAATTACTGAAAATAACAAATAAAATATAAAGTTTTTCTTAAGAAACATTTGATAACTATCTTTCATAGGATGTAGCATTATCACTAGTTAACTCTTTCAGCATGGGCTCGGTCCCTAGGACCAGCCTCATAACCATTTTGTGCATGCTATAGTTTTCATGCTATAACTTGTAAATTAGTAAGCGAATGTTAATTAAATTTGGAAGTTTATCAGTAAACATTACATATGCAAAATATCTAATTTTTTTTATTAAGTCTTATGGTTTTCAAGGCAATATTTTTCTCATGACTTTTTTTTCTTTTCACATGTTGCCTATCTATCATGCAAAGTAATATTCATTTTAACATTAAAAATACTTTTATGCATCAGAAAATTTTCAAATTTCACATGTGAAATCTTTATAATGTCCCAACTTGCTATTATATTAAATGGATTTCAAGTAAGGTGCACAATGATTTTTCATACATCAAAGAACCAACAGTTTTAATGATTCTATAATCAAGCATGTCATCTAATATCTTTCCTTGCAAGACATTGACAATACTAATAATATGTATTAAATAACATCTTTTTTACTGTTGCAACTCAAGCTGTAGATATGTCACGATCAATTCCATGACAAAGTTTATTAATTTTTATCCTTGAAAAGTATGGTTTTGAATTTATATTAAATGTTGAAAGTTGTAACATACACTTATGTTGAGATATTCAAAAAATTTATTTCAGTTCAATTTGTTATTAATCAAAACCATAATTGCAATTTAACACAAGACACAGTAACTAATCTTTCTGTAGACACAAATCTGAAATCGTAGTAGTTTATCCGCTTAAAAACCAGGGGTCACCAGTGAAAGTATCTGTACTGATATGTATTGGTGAAGGTCAAGCAGCCAGGGGTCGCCAGTGGAAGTATCTGTGCTGATATGTATTGGTGAAGGTCAAGCAGCCAGGGGTCGCCAGTGAAAGTTTCTCTACTGATATGTATTGGTGAAGGTCAAGCAGCTAGGTGTCGCCAGTTTAAGTATCTGTGCTGATATGTATTGGTGAAGGTCAAGCAGCTAGGTGTCGCCAGTTTAAGTATCTGTGCTGATATGTATTGGTGAAGGTCAAGCAGCTAGGTGTCGCCAGTTTAAGTATCTGTACTGATATGTGTTGGTGAAGGTCAAGCAGCCAGGGGTCACCAGTGAAAGTAGCTTTACTAATAAGTAATGGTGAAGGTCATTGGCTAATGGAGTACAGTATTTGTACGTAGTGCAGTGTATTAGGATGTTGTCATAAACCACTAAGCAATGATAATAAATTCTTTTAGAAGAAAAGATAATGTTCTCTTCAGTTTTCCTGCAAATTTACTATTTTCACATAATTCTGATGTTTGTTTGTTTTTATACTGGAAGCTTATATCCCCTTCACAGTATTCATGACCTCTAAACTATGCTAGAGTTGTCACAGGTATAAACTTTCCCAGAGTTTATTCATAATCAGCATTTTCTCCACGAACTGACCCGAGTTGCATACTTTGGAATAATGATTTTAGCTCCCACTTTATTTGAGATGGTTCATTCCACTTCCTGACTGACTTGTAGAAATCACTATATACATTAACAGTGTTTTTCTAATCATAACTGAAAGATAGTTCATTAAAGCTATGATTTCTTTTCAATTTATAATTGCTTACCATAGAAACAGTTGGTGCAACTTGCAAATCAAGTCCAGTTTGGTTTCATTTTATATGGCAACTAAATAACAGCAGCGAGGTTAAAACTGAGCTAAACAAAAGAAGATGTAAGCTATAATTATTTATCTTCCAAATGTCTCGGCTTTTAAACACTGTTGGTAGCACATATTTATTACATTTATGCAGGTAGATTTTTGTGAGAATATTTTTAGATTTCATTAATTTGTCTGTTATGTTTACTTATATAAGTTTTATTTTCTTTTAGCAAATTAAAGAAGGAAAAGAAGATCTTAAAAAAAGGGGGTTCAGGTTTGATGAAGACACATTACAGAATGCTGACTTGTGAGAAACATGATGATGCAGAGAATTACTTGGTGAACTGTAAAAACTAAAGATAAAACTTCAGGCATTCCAAAATGAGCAACTTTGGGAAATTTTTCTTTGTTGATGTTAACTTTTGTTAGTTGTCATCAGGTAATATTTACAATAAATAATTATTATGTATTTTTGAATCAAAATGAAGTACTTGGCTTATGAGATTGACTTAGAGCTGGTGTTTATTTCCTGTGAATACAAGGGAACGAGAAAGTTTTTACTTTCCCACTGGATAGGATGCCAGTCAACATGGGCTCGGTCAATTTGACCAACCACGTAACCTCTTTGTACTCGATTAGTCTTTATACTTATAACTTCCACTATAGTGTGTATATCTTCACAAAATTTGGCAGTCTTTTAGTTCATATTATAAGTCTTTCACAGAAAAAAAATCATATTTTTTAGTTAAGTATTTTTAATAAAATATAGATTTGTCTATTAATATATTGATTATTTGTTTTGAATAGTCCATGTGCAAAGTAATTTTCATGTTAAAATTAAAACTACTTTTCCTCATCTCAAAAATCTCAAATTTCCTTTGTGTAATCTGTAAAACCTCTTAAATGCAATTCAAAGGTTTTTTTTTCTTCAGTAAAACTTTATAGATTATCTGTTATTTTCTCTACCCTATCTCAAAATGGGAGCGGTCAATTGGACCGACCTAGTAACCACAAAAAAAATCGAAATGAACCAAAATTAACCTTTATTTTCTTTCTAGAATGACTTGAAATTGTAACATGAAACTACATTCGTTTATCCTGAGCAGTTTTATGCTGGTAACAGTATACATCTGTTTATAATTAAATTTATTGTTTTATTGCACTTTTAACCATGTCTAACTACTACCTGCACCATTATAAGTTGTAAATCACTCGGGCAACGTACAGTTCACATTATGCTGTCGTATTACATTACCCACGAGCTGCTCGCATGCATGCCTTGTCAACCATTATATTATTATTATTATTACTTATTTTACCTGATCTAGTCTTAAATAACGTAAAAAAGATCCATATGTTTAGATTTTAGTTACTTTTATAATAATAAACATAGAAAAACAAGAAATAAATTACTTATCCAATTTTCTTTTTTTTTCTTGCTCCCAGGTTTTCAAAGAGAGTTAACCCTAATTTTTTATACTATAGATAGTAATGCACCAAAGAATATAGACTAATAACATCCAAAGAGTAGACAATTTTCCTGACTTTCTAATTATGTGACAAGCTAGTCGTTAACTTTCCCGTGGGAACAAATCCTGTACTGTGAGTGAAATTGATGATATTCTGTTCAGAATACAACGTTATACAATATGTCATTTGATAGATGAAAACCTTGACTTTCTATAAGTTGTAAGTAATGTATAATGAAACGTAAGAGAAAACTATTAACAAATCCTGAAAGAGAGGATGTGGCAGGAGGGGTCTGATTTTCTCTTCATTAGCTCTGTAAACAAAAGAGTATTGAAGGCTATAAAAATTATGGTTTGTTTGAGTAATAATCATTTTATAGAGAGTATTTTACATTTTCAAGGGGTGGTGGATAAAATAGGGATGATGACAAGCTAGGACAAAATGCATCATGCTGGTCACACTAGTGGAAATTCAGGATTTTTTTTATATTCCCTTGTAGAATTAAGAGCTTAAAACTTGTATACTATTAAAATATGGATTATTAGCTAAGATTTTATACTATTCTAATTCGTATAACATAAACAAAGAGTAGTTTAATAAAAATTTTGAATTTAAGACACTAAAACCTTGTGTCATGCACAGTAAAGGGTACCCGGATGATAGGGTTAACTGGTACCCATTTTACAGCTGGATAGACTGAAGCAAATTTTAGGTAACAGGTGTTTGATCTAGGCATGGGTAAGCTTTAAACCTGCAACCTTTTGAATACTAGTTCAAAGCACTAACTGCTATGCTATGTAACCCCATTTGGTGAAAAATAAAACCAAAGACAACACATCGATCATTCCAAAATGAACACTCCCTTGTTTTTGTTTTTTAAGTCATTAAGTAACACTTCCAACAAATTATCATAATGTATTTTTAAAGTAAAATAATATTCTACATTAGACATGTTTCATGAGTTGAGTAGTGATTTAGAAAACTTAAGCAATGAAAAAAGCCAACAATTAAAGTTACAGGAAGCTCGAAACAGAGTATAGAAAAGACAAGAGACTTTGCTTATTTTGACATCAACATATTTTAAATTCATTATGGTAACTTACAAAATTTGCAGATTTGTAGAGATTGGTTTATAATCATGTTTATTGATGAAGTATTTTAATGTTTGGACACCTTAAAATTGACATGGCTTATCAGAACTATACGTAGTGGTCCAATAGATGAGCAGCTATGGGCCATCGCGGGCCAGGAAAACTATCCTAAACTAACAAGTCATTGACTGCATGTGTGAGCTTCTACTTTTATGCCAGATAATTAAGTGGACCTTGATGTGCAGAAGGTTAAGAAAGCCTGCAATAAAACATGTGCAGACAGTTGGTAAATTAACAATGCTCACTAGAATAGCACTGGAGTGTCAAACATAAATGTTAAATCAGGACTTATAAACTATGTATTGATCTACCGAGTCCTTTTAGGTATTGAACATCACAATTCTTCTAATTCCTAATCTTGGATGCTTTACTGTAGTCTGTCTAGCCCATGTGGACTGACTTCCCCCAAGAATGACAAGATAGGTTTCCAGGATTAACAGAAGCTTTGATCAGGAAATATATATTGTGGAACAGAACAAAATTATCTGACTCAGCTTGAAAAAGGAGGATACATTAACTTTACTCTCAAACAAACTTAAAATAGTTTGTGTGTACTGAACGAAAGACTGGGAAGAGCTCTCTGTTTATCTCGAGAAATAGCTTTATAATCTACTCCAGACTGAGGAAACATGGCATTATATACACAGTGCTTGTTCTCTCAGAGTACAGAGCTATTCATGCGATGTTTGGTCATTCTCATTGAAACATAAGGTAGGTTATATCCTTGATCTACCAACGGAAAATATCTACGTCCATTTACAACTTTGTGGTCCTTTTCTTCTTCTTTGAATGATGCAGAACAAAAACAAGAGCAAAAGGAACTTTTAGTGACTTCCTTGACTGATATTCCACAATAAATGTTCTATATCAAAACAAGGGGGGGTAGCAAATACAGGGCATTCCTCAATACCATGCCTTTACCTAACATTTACTTAATTGTCCTTACATGCTACCTTTACAGGGGTAGCAAATATAGGGCATTCCTCAATACCATGCCTTTACCTAACATTTACTTAATTGTCCTTACATGCTACATTTTCAGGGGTAGCCAATACAGGCATTCCTCAATACCATGCCTTTACCTAACATTTACTTAATTGTCCTTACATGCTACATTTTCAGGGGTAGCAAATACAGGGCATTCCTCAATACCATGCCTTTACCTAACATTTACTTAATTGTCCCTACACGATACATTTTCAGGGGTAGCAAATACAGGGCATTCCTCAATACGATGCCTTTACCTAACATTTACTTAATTGTCCTTACACGATACATTTTCAGGCCGATCTTTACAACATCTCTATTAAGTCTTGTTCTTATTCCACAAGCTCTTACCTTACATTTGTTCTTACATCATCTTTAATGCTGCAGTATTTTTCTACTGCGTCTCCACCTAAGATACACTCACTTTCTTTTACATGTCCTCTAATAAGTCACAGAATGAAAATAAAAATAATGAAACCAACATAATTAGTGGAATGAACATTTTACCTGTGCACTAGTGAAATCCACCTGTCTTATACTCCAGAGTCGACTGTCTGTATTCAAAAGACAGTCCTGCCAGCTCAAGCTTAGTGAGCCTGATTACTAATTATTAATGTAGTCAGTACAATTCAATGGAACTTTGAAACTTTTGTTATAAATCAAACATGTATTCTAAGTACAACACAAAAAGTAAATACAAAGTGATGTAATTTACTCCTTGGTCTTGTACTAAAGTGAAATCTCAAGTGATTCGGTAATACGATCTTCAATCAACTTAATGCTGGGAATCATTCCGAGGGAAGTAATTACTGACATCACTTTGTATTCCTCAGAGAGATCCCATGGATAAACTTCTCTTCATTGCATTCTGATGTCATTTGAACTCTCATTTTTTTAATATTATGTATGATGCAGGAACAGAGAAAAAGACTGCTTTTGTAACTGAACAAATCTTATTTGCAGAGTCTCAATGGTGGTGTCATAAAATTATTTTGGCTGTTGCACTAAGTTTTTGATTGGGTTTATCCATTTGATGGTGGTGGCCAAAATTATTTTGGCTGTTGCACTAAGTTTTTGATTGGGTTTATCCATTTGATGGTGGTGGCCAAAAATTATTTTGGCTGTTGCACTAAGTTTTTGATTGGGTTTATCCATTTGATGGTGGTGTCATAAAATTATTTTGGCTGTTGCACTAAGTTTTTGTTTGGGTTTATCCATTTCCACATTCAGTTCCTGGTCAGAAATTCACACAAATCTTCTCTATGGAAAGTGATTTTGTCATTTTCTTTGCAAACCCTTCATAAAGAACTGAACATTTTCTGGGGAAGAATGAATTTTTTCCTGTAACAGGAACTTCTGAGGACGGGGAAATAATGGCTAAAAAAGTTGATTTTTCCTGTAACAGGAACTTCTGAGGACAGGGAAGTAATGGCTAAAAAAGTTGATTTTTCCTATAACTGGAACCTCGGATGACAGCTGATAGATAAAGGTTATTTTTTCTCTGATATGTTTGTACATGCTTGTTAACTTCTTCAATGTCTTGTATCATGTTTTTATCTGACCTACTGTGGTACATTGGAGTAGACTATATACTTAAGGACAGTTTACATGTATAAGCTTAATAATGAGATCCAAATGAGATTTTAAGGCACATTTTATTCTTGATTATAAAAGACATGTTCCAAGAAGTTAAAACACAAACAAAACCCTTCACACATAAAAATCAGGCAAGTATTAATTCTAACAACAACATGATTCGTGGATTCACTACTTAAAGAATCAGCTTGAGAACTGGTTTCACTGTTTGTTGAATGGGGCTCTTGAACCATAAGCTCAACTATCTATTCCAAAGTTAGAACTAGTGACTTTAAACTTTGAGTTTTAAGTAATATCACCACCA